GAGAGAGAGAGAGAGAGAGAGAGAGAGAGAGAGAGAGAGAGAGAGAGAGAGAGAGAGAGAGAGAGAGAGAGAGAGAGAGGGCACCACGACCAAGGGGCAGGGGAGAGTTTCACTCCCCAGATGAACACGTGGCATTTGCTGACAGCTTCCTACTCTGCACCAATAACTGGAAAAGAAATAGATTCTAGGTAACAGAGATCTCTCCCAGATATACACATGGCAACTACTGAGAAAGTTCTGATCAGAAAATGATTGGGGGTGAGGTTAATTCTTCTCCTTGAAGAAGTAATCAATGCGTCTGGCCCTAATCTCAAGAGGAGAGGAATAGGGAAAAATGAGAGAGTGGTGATTGTTTTTTTTTTAATTGGACACTCGAACCGGTTTCCTCCAGGCGCAGCTCCCCACCAATATGGTGATGATATGCGTTTTCAGTAGGTGAGGGATTCTATCAAAAGGTCCTCGTCGGTTCAGGCTTGGTTTCAGTTACCGGTTAGGACCCAGAACTTACAGAAAAGTCCCAGTTAGTGTTACAGCCAGCTGGGAAACTCCAAGAACATTGCATACACAAAACAGAAAGGTAGTCAAAAGAGAAAAAGAAAAGAAAACTAGTCAATACACACACCAGGGGGGAAGGGGGCATGCAAGGCTCCAAGTGTCAAAAATGACGTTCCAAAGCTTATATCGAGGACGGCGAGAAATATGAACCTCTGTTATGCCACCTTTGACACCTGCCAACCATGCATACTCCTTCCCCATGCGTGCCCCCCTCCTGTCTTCCCTCCCAAACAGTGCGTTCCCTTGGCCGGTCCCCACTTGTTTACCCCACAACCTTGGCTGTGTACAAGGACTCAAGGATGCTCATGTCGGGCTTAAGTTTATTTTCCCGTCCTCTGCTGGCCTTGGGAAAATTAGAAAGTAAAATCTGCATACTGCATGCTGAGGACCAAAAGGGTGCTGTGTACGTAATAAATGATAGGTGGCAGTGCCACCTCGACGTGGACTTGCATCTTCTAAAACTCATCAAGCGGTTCCGCGAGCCCAAATTGAAACTGGCCAAAATCTCCTCGCTACAGTGGCAGATCGCCCACCGCTGCCTGTCAACCAACAATTGGCGGCACCGTAGTGCAAAATGTGCATGCAAAGTTACTCATCTCAAAAGAGAATAGAAACCATCAAACACATTTTTTTGTGATGCCCAGGACAGGATATGGCGGCAAATGGTCCAAGGCTCCCTGTGGCCATGGGACTGGCAAGCCCTTCTTACAGGACAGGATATGACGGCAAATGGTCCAAGGCTCTCTGTGGCCATGGGACTGGCAAGCCCTTCTTACAGGACACGGCCCCTACAGCGAACATGACCCCTTCAAAGAAAACATGTTCCGACTAGGTAGGCGTCCATGCTCTGGGTGATGTGGTGGCGTAGATGCACCTTGGAGATGGAGGGAGCAATTGTGAAGGAAGGTGAGGTAACAGATCGAGTTCAGCTGCTCATCCAGGCGGAAATCACCAACCACTGGCAGGCAGTGAGGCAGAGGATGAAGTTCGCACACTGAACGAGATGATGACAGGATCATCACCTGTTTCTGTGAAGAGTGGCTAGGGGGTAAGCGGAGGGGCTGCATGGCAGGGGTGAGGGCAGCAGCAAGAACTTGAAGAGGCGGGGTCCACAGGCACCAGCACAGCCAGAGACTACCAGCTGAATTTTCACGTTTAGACAATGATTGACCCCAGTGTGCTGATGAGACCAGCATCAGACTTCGCGGACCCCTTCCCCCTCACCCGTTATCCCTAATGGAGGTTCTGCAGGACATCACCTGAGACATCAACTGACGGTAACAAGAAGGGGACAGGAAGGCTGCAGAGACTGCTCCCGAGGGCTCCAGTGCCCCCCCGGAGCTTGGAGGCACCAGTCGGACAGTCCTGCCCTCCTACAAGCTGATGCTGGACCCAGGCTCCACTGGACGGGCATGCACGGTGCCCCAATGGTTCTTCAACTAAAAGATTTTTGAAAAAACTGCGCCTGTGACCGCTGCACAGTTCAGAATTCGCAGAAATAACAGTCCACTGCAAGACTGGGCCAAGACCAGTTAGAAACTGCAAGAAAAACAATAAACTATGCGTTTGGCAGCCTACCGGTTCAATAATTGGCAAAAACGGGAGGTGGCCTGGGCTAGTGGTACCTCCCTTTTTCCCGTTTTGGCTTCTGGCGGGACTAGGTTCGGGCGGGTAGCGGTGGACTGCGTTTTCGCATGGTGGCCACCGTTTTCGAAATTGTGTGGCAACAGTCATTCATTC